ACATGGTCGTCCCTCTGTGCGTGTCTGTGTCCTAATTTCTTCTTATAAGGACACCAGTCACATTGGATCAGGGCCACCCACATGACCTCATTTTAACTTAATTACCTCTTATCGCCAAATGCAGTCACATTCTGTGGTCCTGGGGTTAGGACTTCAGCATATGAGATTTGGGGGCTGGGGGACATAACACAGCTCATAATACTCCAATAGAATAGTTTCAAAAAACAGATGGCTCCTCAAAGCTAGGCAGGCCGGGGGTCAAAGCTGGCTCTGGTACCTTTCCTGCGGTGGGCCAGTCATGTCCCCTTTCAGACCCTGCTCTCCCCTCTGAACAATGAGTCACATGAGAACCCAAGAGGCAGAAACCCTCAGGTTTTCCGCTGCTAACAGGACCTGCTGCATAACCTGTGCTCGGTAGATGTCAGGCCCTGCCGTGGGTGTCACCCAGCTCCCAGCTACTGAGTTTGCCCAGGGCCAGTCCCAGGCAGGGTGCTCTTCAAATTTCTCTCTAACCCTCCCCCATCCCTCACCCTGGCCAGCAGTGGGAGTGAGGGAGGGAGGCCCCCTCATTAGCTGCACATTCATTATCTGTAAGGAAACAGGCCTACAAGGTGAAGTCCTTGCTCAAGGTCGCCCAGCCAGGAGGTGGGGGTGGGCAGCTGGGCTGGGTGGGGATCTGAGGTACGTCTGTGCCTCCCCCTCAGGCCTGTGAGTTCTGGGAGGGCAGAAAGGGGCTCGACCATGCCCCCCACCAAGTCCCAGCCTGGAGCCTTCCTGAAATAGATTCTCCATCAATGGTGTTGCAGTTGCATGCATGTGACTTGAAATAAGAAAGAGATGAGGGTGGGGGATGGGGGCCATGACATTTATTTTGTTCGCTGTGTCTTCCTGGCTTCCAGAGATTGTTTCTAAACCTCTAACAATGACCCTTGAATGTGAAATGAAACCATCTTTCCAGCAAAAGATGCACCTATTCCTGTGAAACGGGGGGCTGGGCCGGGAGCCGCTGCTCCTGCTTATGACACCGCTAATTGTGTTTTTCTACAAGATTAATTTTATTGTCCCGTTATCTGCTCCTTTGAAGCCACTCAGGGGTGGAATATGTCTCAGCTTTCATCCCCAGAGTTTCATTAATAATCAGATCGCCTTTCGCCCGGGAGCCCTGGACCGCCAGGGCTGGGGAGACTTCCAGCCGGAACGGAATGGAAACCCTCAGCGTGTCACAGTGTCCCCATCGCAAACGTCAGGGCACCTTGGGTCAGGAAAGCATGCTTCCTCCAACGTCTGGCACCAGGAGGGGGGACCCAGTGGTTGACTGGAGTTTACCAGGTTGCAGGCACTGTGCCCAGGGCACTTCCTCTTGTGCCACCTCACCGCTGCCGGGGGGAGGTCAGCACTGGGAGGTCAGCACCGTTGCCCCATCTTACAGGACGGGATGAGTGTCACCTCTGCAGGATGGTAGAGAAGGAAGTCTTCTGACACAGATTCAAGCCAAACACAGCTGACCCCAAAGCTGTCCTGTCCCCACCTTGTCATAGGGGCTCAACTCTCCCTCCAGACTTTAGAGAGTTGGAGGAAGAGTTTCACTCTCCTGAGATCTAAGAGACAAATAGATCAGAAACCTTTTGGACAAAGGTGCAGCCAACACACTGCCATTGGCTGGCCCTCCGCTCTTTTGGTTGTGAAAGATGGAGCAGGTGACGGGAGGGTGGGAGAGTCGCGCCATCACCCGTGACTCCCACTGGCCACGTGCCCGGCAAGCTGTTTCTTATCTCTGGTCTTCACCATAATCCTAAAATGTAAATCGTATTTTCTTCTCTTCTCCAGATGAAGTAGCACAGGCGCTGAGGCCAGACACTGAACTGTTGGCTCCTTAGCTGGGACCCAAACAACGCGCCTTGAACATTCAGGATGGGCCTGCTGGCGCTTCATTTGGATGTCTGAATGGTGAGACATTTCTGTTGCTTTAAGCCACCAGGTTTGTGGCACTGCCTTGCACCTTCTGTTCCCCTACCTGGAACAGCTTCTTCCCTGCGCACAGATGGCCCTGCTGTCCCTCGGGCCTCCCTCGTGGACTTCCCCTGATATCCACAGCTCCCTGGCAGTGGAGGTGACCACCCCCATGGGCTCACTGCTTCCCTCGAAGACTGGCGGTTTCATTTCCCTCCTCGGGGTGCTCCTGGTGGGTGGGCTGAGTGCCACGCCTTTGCATTCATTGCCTGTGTGTGACTGCCACAGGTCTGGTGCAGTTTTTTGGGGGGGGCACCCACAAAAAAACCCCAAAGGACAAAGCTGCAAAGTCCCAATGAACAGCACCAGTCAAAACCCAGGACAGTACCATGACCTCCATGCCGTCTCTGGTACGACCACGGGTCCTTCTTGTCTCTGTGGTCCTCAGTTGACAGAGACTTTGAGGGGGGCAGGGGTCAAGGGTCAGGACAGCCTGCCCTGCAGCAACCCGTGTGGGATGCTGACCAAAGTGTGTGTGCGGGTGCCTGTGGCCTATGAAACGCTGGGACCTGAGGTGGGACAAAGACACTCCCTCCCTGAAGCCCACAGGGTTTCTCCTGACCCCTGACCTTAGCATGCCAGGAAATAACCCAGGCCAGCCCCTGGACAGCTTCTAACTGCTTTTCCTCACCTGCTGCAGGAAGGACCAAAGCACCAGGAAGCAGGCCGCCTAGGCCCGTGAGAGACACCGGGATGCACAGAGCCGCCTGGGCAATGCCTGAGTCCTGTTTCCAAGGGCCTCTGACCAAAGAATACCAGGGCCAGGCCCCCGGGGCCGGTGGCAGGGTGGGTGGCAGGGTGAGCTGCTGGGACACCTGCCCTCCCTGGGCCAGCCTGTGGTCTGCCAAGAGCCAGGCCCTGGAGCCAGAGGCCCTGTGGGCCCTGCTGGGCAGCAAAGAGGCATCGTTAGCTCATCTGTGAGAGGGGCGGGGCCCTCCTGGGCGTTTTGAGATCAGGGCGCCCAGGCCAGGCGACAGCCATGGCTCCCGGCTAAGGGCACCTAAGGGCACGGCAGGCAGAGGCCGCGCTGCCCCCGGGCTTGTTGTGCGGCGGGGCCTCTCAGGGTCCTGTCCGCGGACGGCCGGGCCATTCAGGCGAAGGGACCGGGGAGGCTGTGAGCATAAGGCCCCAGCAACGGGGACACCGCCCTGTGCCCCGCGGAGCCGGCGCAGGTGCCTGGGGAGGTGGCCTTTGTCCAGCAGCTGCCTTCCTCCCCAGCTCCTCCTCCGGCTCCCACAGCCCGCAGCTCTGCGCCCGAGTCCCGCAGCCCCGCTGGTTCCAAGTCTCCAAACGGGGCCTTACGGGGGCAGATGAGACAGTGGCCCCGCCGGGCGGGGTGGGGGCCAGCGGGGCAGGCCGGAGCCAACCCCCTCCTTCGTTTCGGGGCGAGCCTCCTCTAGGGTGAGGCTGCAGAAAGGGGACCCCGCTTTGTCCTCTGACCAGACCCAACCTGACCGCTCCCTCCAGCAGAGCGCCAAGCGCGGCCTCTCTGCGCGCTCGCGCCCCAGGGGAACCGTCC